CCTTGCTCTGTTTTTAAGAAAATATGAGCAGCAAAATATCTTGGTGGAGAGGAGAGGAGGGTATCATCTTGCGCCATCGACCTTGGGGGGGATGGGCACACCTCTGTACCACAGACTAACGTTTTTCTTAGCTCATACGGAAAATTCTCGTGAGTCCTTTGGGCTTTGGGTCGAAACGTCGGCAAATATAAAAATAAATATTATTTATTTATTTTTAAGTCGTTTATTTTTTTACTGAACACCCCAACCAACTTCTCTTCAATATCTTTAAATACTTTGATTAATTCCAAATGTTTTGTTTTATTTTTACTTAGACTTTATTTTTTTATTTTTGATCATTTTTAATCAGTTTGCAATAGTTTTATTTTGTTAAAAACATTAGAAATATACTTGATATCACAGGCGGATCTACGGGGGGGAGGGGAGGGTGGGGTTTACGGACTGAAGCCCCCCAACATGGTAAAATATAACCATGTTTTATAGAAAAAAGTATCTCTTAAAGTATTATTGTTCGTATAATTACATTTAATAGCACTTCAAAAATCACTTAAACACCATGTCGTATAGGTACTTAGTTTCTTTCTTTTTTTTCAAATTAATTATCGTTATATATATGGAAAAAAAAATTCGGGCTGAAGTCCCCCAAAAAATTAAATCCTGGATCCACTAGTGCTTAATATAACAGGACTTAAAACTGAAACCATCCACTACTCTTTCATTAAGAGAAAAAAAAATTGCTAGTACTGTTGATTAAATACAAAGCAAAAATAAATTTTCCTATTGTCAAAAACAGGATCTTAATAGTGTTAACAAAAATTGCTTTTAATAAGTTGTAATTAGCTTTTCAATAAGTTAAAGGCACTTTTTGTTAATATTTATTTTATAATTATGTACTTTCAACACGTTATTTCACATAATTACATGTTCTTATTCAACATTTAGGAACATACCAAATGAAACAACAATTTTTTAAAATTAGGTATATATTTCATGGATTTTAAATGTCTTGGCAAGGTGAGAAGTAGTTTTATGAGATGAACTCAAGAACAATACAATGACATCAATATTTAAGTTTTTAAACTAAAGAAATTTTTTTTTAATGATGTCAGCCACTGGTGCATTTATCCTACCTTAAATTTGTAATTTCAGTTACTTAAGACTTTTAAGAGTAGAGTGTTCACAAACACACAGACATTTTTTTGAGACTTTGACCTTGAGATTTGGACACAGGGGACTTAAAAAACTCGGATTTGAAATTTTTCACGTTCATAATACTTGCCCTTATTATATATTCAAAAAATGGTACGCGAAAATTAAAATTAATCCTTTTTTTAATGAGATATAAATTAAATCTATTTACACCTCGCTGGCGATTAAATCACGTATAATTATTTCTTCGAGGACAGGTAACAGCGACAAGGAAAAGGGAGGTGATGTAATATATTTTTAGATCCTAAAGGATAAATATACCCGTGACGTCAACTAGTGGTCAGTTTTGAGTTAGTCACCTGTGACGTAGCGGTTAGACCTTTCACTCTAAATTAACGTAGCGACTCCAGGACATTCCTACGCCATGACGTGTTCAAACTAAGCTACTGGTGGTCTGTATTGTAATGTTGCCAGCTATCGTTAAAGAAGCGAGGAGGAAACTTCGATCCTTTGTGTGTATAAAAATGTATTATGTAATGTTTATTTTAGAAGATAAGGCAGAAAATAAGTATATTTCATATTAATTAAAGCAAAAATATAATAATAATAATAAAATGATATCCGGAGTAAAGTACATAATTCCTCAACCTATAATTAATTCGAGTGATGACTCATTCTAATTCTTTTAAATATATTTTATGGATAAGATAATGTATTTAAATTTAAAAAAAATAATAATAAATCTTGTAAATAATCATGGTTCCATTCATAGACTCAGACTTTGAAGAAGCGAGTGGGGCGTTATTCCTCCACCCCATAAAAATTGATAGGGGAAGGAAATATCGTTTCGCTCCCCCCCCCTCCTCCCAATATTTCGAAACACAAAAATCAAATTAAAATCAATAACAATTATTCGATATGAATAAATAAATATATTAACTAAAATCAAGTAAGCAAATAGGAAAAGTCGATTAGATGGCTCAGCTAAGGCCTGGAAGTAAGCAAGCATTTTACCAGACCCTCTGTTCCTATTATTGAAATTTCAGTTATATTCATTATATGTGGCATCATATGTTAGGATTTTATGATTCAGTCACGTGCGCCCTTCAATTTTTACGTAAGATTTTATGATATGTTCATCAGCAAATTTGAAGCAGCGGAGAATTGAAAGTTCATCTCACTTCCTCAAACCTTTAAATAAAAATAAAGACATGCAATATATTCAATTGGTTTGGTAACATATTTTCAAATATAACCATACGAAAAAATACATATTTTTTTATTATTACTATTATTTATGAAATTAACAACTGTACATTTGATATACATTCAGCAAATGTGATTCAGATAAATACATGACAAGGCTTGTAGAGAATCTACCCAATGGTAGCACTCTAATAAAGTTTCTAAATTAGGAGATCACGAGGCCATCTTTTTTTCTGAAGCCTAGGAGGGTTGGGTTATCAGGGATTGAGGAGGAAGCAAGGTTAGAAACGAGAGGATTAAGATTGTTCTGACGTTTATTATGGAAGGATAGGTATCTGGATTGGATCCAAATCGGAAACATATGGAACATTCAGGTCATTATAGATTATCTTATTTGTTACAAAGTAAGGAGCATTAAGGATTTTACGGATTTTGGATGGTAAAGATTGAATAGAGAGAAATTCGATGGTTTAGTGGAGCCCCAAAGCTCAACTCCGTAAGTCCAAATAGGTCTTATTATGGTCATGTATATGAGTCTTTTGTAATTAATTGAAAGGTTAGAGCTTTTATTATGAAGTAGTCGGAAACGTCGAGCGGTTTCTTGTTATTTCAGTCTGGTATGAGGATTCCAAGTTAGACGTTTGTCCATGGGGAGTCCTATTTACGGGATTTGTTCAACAGGGATTAAAAATACATATAAATATATTTTTATAAACAATAGTGCATTGTTCGTTTTAGATTAATTATTACACGTAATTTATATACACAATATAAACTCCGGAGATTTTATTTTGGAGGGAGAGGGGAGGGGAAGGGAGGGATTTATCGCTCCCCCTCCAACCAGAATGGAAAGTATCCGCCAATGATTCCATTGCTTTTAATTTAAAAATTCAATTTATTGTTATGATACGATTTCAAGATGACAAGAAAGCCTAATGTCTCTTAAATATCGGTTTTCTAACTAACCAGTTCACCGATTCTCGCTTCATACGAACAGAAAAGTAAACGGCCTCGTAAACGCACATTAATTTTATTTATTTATCATGTTTATTTTATATTTATTTATTAACACATAAGTATTAAAATAGGCTAACCAAATCACTCCTAGACGTTCGTAAAATGTTATACGAATTGTAGAGATTGTAATATTATTAAATATTAAATATAATTATTATATTATTTAATATTAGATATATATTAAAATTAAACTTAATAAAAATTAAGCATATTACAATTTCCTAAAAATTTGCAGGCTACAATTTTTGTTGCCGATTTTACGGTTTAAGGATGGGTAGAAAAATCGCTACAAAATAATATTACTTTTAGGTTAAAATAATAATACCTTTTTCAGTTTTTTTGTTGTTTTCAGTCAATAAAATTAGTTCATTTTATGAGGCAATGATATTTATTTTGAAATATATTACCTATATTACTTTCATAAAACTGGAGTTGAAAAAATAAAGTGGCTACACCTCCCATGGAAAAAAATCTAGCTTTTAGTCCTGACGTTAACAGTCAGATAAAACAATTCTCAGGAAGCTTATATGAAGTATAAGTTCAGTATTATATTATGCATACCTAGTAAAATTAATATTTTACTATACATAATATGGTGGGTCTAATGCAAAAATTCACTAATTGTAAATGACATTTCATAAAATTAAATTAATAATTACTCTGTTGAATTTTCTCTCAGTGAAATCAGAACATGTGCATCTAATGTTACAATATAAGATAAATAGAAAGAAGTATTTAAGTCATATTTATGCAATTCTATAGTGTTTTTGGTCGTTAATAAGATCGAACTAACATAGACATACTTGAAAGTTAACCTACATCAAAAATGCACTTAGTGACTTTTTGCAATAAACGAACGATATATACTATTTTTTACAACCATAATTTTAAAAAAGATGATCAATATTGAAGCTTTTGAAAAGCATGATTCTATTTATAAAATAATTCTTTCGTATAAAAAATAAGAGTAAACAGTTTCGTTGAACTGTAAAATGTAATTGATCTTAACCATTTATTTTAACGATAATGTTTGTTTGTGGAATTACAAAATTTTGCAGTAGGGCTGTTTGACATACTATCCTCAAAATGAGATATTGTCACTTTATATTAAATTAGTTATTTGTTGGGAGAAGTAATCTGCATTGTTTCTGGGCATTTTCATTTTCTTTTCTTTTGCATTAAGAATTATATGATAACAGGGTGACCATCCCTCTCTTTCCCCCAAGAACAATGGGACATCCCCATTCATTTAAATTGTATTGCTTTCCTTTTCTTGAAGACGGTGAAAATAAAAGTGGAAACTATCTACTTAGTTCTAAAGTTCCTCCCAATACCAAGTTCCACCCTAAAAAAAAAAATAAGGTTTCTTCCAAAAATTTCGATGACATAATTTACACCAGGCTACACACTTCTGGCCTCTAGTATAACATTTTGTAATTAAGGAAACTACGAAAGAAAACCTTTATTTCCTCAATAAATATTTCTAAAAAATATAGAATATTTAATCAGTTATAACTAAGGATGCTAATTGTGTATTATTTTTTAGCAAACACAATAAATTATGATAGGATTTTTTTAAATATACCGTCATAATCCGGTGAAAATCCCAGACAGCTCACGCAACCTACCGCCAGTCTGTGACAGGCGCAGTTCGAGTCCAGCTGTGTTTGTTTGTTGTATGGCTGGCCTACCAGCTGAAATGGCATCTTCAACAGGACAAGGGGGTTGATATACTGTTTAGTTCCTTATTTTGTAATGTTCAGTTATGTAAATATTTAGTGTTAATCTAATAAATAGCTTACGAAATGTTTCAGTTTTGAAAATATAGGTTAGTTTTCGGAATTCGTTCATTCAGTGCCTTTTAGCTTACAGTTCATTCTTTTGTTCTTTATCTTCTCTTATATTAAACATGATGCAGCAAATAATAAAAACATTTCCTGATGACAAGCCATTGACATCTATAAGTGTAATAGAAGATATATCGAAACGTCCTCAAGGGTTCATCATTGTGAGTATTAACTTCATTAAAAATGTCTTTCATTTGTACACAGTTAAAAATAGAAAATATGTACATACACAGGTATCGAAAACATTCGATCAAGACTCAGATGCCGATCTGTGGAAGGGTAGTACATTCTTCGGAGGAAGAGTCTCTAGGTACTTGTGTCTCTCTAAGACTGAAGGAATCGACAATTATATTGTCGAAGACATTGCCATTATTGGAGAGAAGGACATGCCTCCAGACGGATACGGTCTCATACCCAAGACAATGGATACGGGTCAGTTTTCTTTGTTTACGTTTGGAATCACAGACCATTACGCTTAATTACATGTCATCTTATACACCTGTGTAATTTACATTCTCTACTTCATTTATGTGTTACATTTTAGATGCCAAGGCTTGGAAAAAGAGACAGATATGTTATAAGTTAACAAGAAGAAATTTGGCCCTTTCCGCTGTAACTGACATCATTCTTTTGAGTAAATCTAAAAAAGCTCCGGAAGGATTCAGTCTTGCTGGGTGAGTTATTTTATCCTTTGTTTTAAAAACTTGGTTCATATCAGACTCAGATTAATCATGTATTGAAAGATATGCTAATCTTATACTTCTTAGCTTCACAATAAACTAATGAGTCATTATTCTATTAATAATTACATTTTAAATTAAGGGATGTGGAATTTGATATATTAAAGCAACTAAAATGGATCAGGAAGCCTTTGTTACAAGCCTTTCAACACCAATTAACAGCTTTTTTGTTATAATTAGGGTAGTCCAGAGACATTTTTTAAAGTCATTAACTATTATTAAAAATATGAGCTGTTTGTTGAAACTATTTTTTTTAGAGAAAAAAATATTGTCCAATTAACTTGAAAATTTTTATATTTCCTCTTCCTGATTATTTTTATTATAGTTTCTTTTACAGTATTTAATCTTCAAAATATTTTTGCCTCTATACATTGAGCACTTTATTGCTAATTTATTCTTTATGTTTATATTATTATTTAATATCATTAAAAAAAGAAAACTTTCTCTTAGCAATAACATATCATGTGGCTTATTCTAAGAAATATAATTGTTTACACTACATAATCATTTAATCATTATAATCACAATTCATGACATCACATACAGTATAATCACAATGGTTTCTCAGCATTTGCTTCAATTAATTTCAGTATTGACGTGTTGTACTAATATTTATAATTAAATAATAAATTATTATTATTTATTACCTAATTATTTATATTACATAAGCCTATTGTTCAGCGTAAACTGATAACAGTATTTAACAAGAAAGCAGTAAATTGAAGTTTTGAATCTCATTCTTTTTTTTTCTATTTTTATTAAAATATTTCGATATTTTTCTCCAATAGTTTTAACATCATTATAACTTTTTTTAAAACCAATAATTAAAAAAATTAAACAGAAAGCTGCCTCACTAGTAAACATAACATGATGAGAGTAATTTTAAATTATTCACAGTACTAACAAATTAATGATTTATTATTTTTCTATCTTAGTAATAAGTACTTTTTTTTTTTTCATTTTAGTTTATAATGAAAGTAACAATAAGTTTGATTGGTTTCAGTAATTGTTAATTCACTTTTGATTTTCTTTCTTTTTTTTATATTTTAGTTTTCAATCTTTTTTATAATAAGTATTAACACATAGATTTTTAATTATTCATAAAATAATGAATTTATTTCCAATCTTTTTTTTAATTTTGTTTATTTTTAAGCAACTTAATATTTTTTTGTCTCGTTCCTAATAATGTTCTTTTTTATTCATAAATTTTAATAAATTGATGCTATTCCTTTATGATAAGAAATTTATAAATATTTAATTGTTGCTGTTAAAGCTATTAAAAATCTACCACTTCAATTTATATTCTTCTCCTTAGTTAACCCTCATCCCCTTATTTGAAAGATTAAACATATCTTGGCTTGAAACATTAATATTTTGATATTAATATCTGTACTGTTTTCAAATATTAAAAATATTAATGCTTGATATATCAAATAACTATTTCTATGATATATATGAAAAATATTGATACAATATATGAGTATTGATATTTATTTTAAAATAATTCTCTCTTTTTTTAGTTATAAATCTGTATTTAAGATCAAAGCTTAAGCAATTAAATGTTTCCCAAGTAGTAAAATTAGTTATTAATATTAATAAACTTTAATTTTAATGTTACATTAAATACATTTTTTCAACCAGTCATGCATTTCATGGAAAGATTTTTTTTTAATTAAATTTTGGCCAACTTAACTAACTATCTTTATAATTTTACTTTATTAGTCAAAAACAAAATTAAATTATTTTGTTAATGTTTCAGGAAATCATTATTATAGTCAAAACGTCTTATTAACAGTTTACATATATTTTTTTGTCCTCAAATACTTTTTCAACCTTATAAACTGAATATAATCACGATAAAATAATTAGGAATTCACTTCCCGGTGCCAGAGTAGCTTTTTTATCACTGGCATTAGTCACCCTCACCTGTGGCCCGAGAAAAAACAAATATAAGCTTAAAAGGGAAGGAAGAGGTGGACAAAAAAAAAATAGAAGAAAAATACATGAGCTAATTTTTATGAGTTTATAAAATTATAAGTAGATAATAATAAGAACAATGTATGTATTTTAATAATAATAATAAATTTAAGTTAATGACGAGAAGAAAATTGAAATCATCTCTGCCTAAGCTTTGATAAGAATAATATAGTTCTGAATATGGTATTTATGGTATCCCGAAACATAAATTATGATTGGATAAATACTAAATGAAGAAAATACACAAGTTTTAAATGTCAAGATCTTCCATTAATTTTTAAATATTAATAGTTTACTTATAAGTATCTCAAGAAAGTTCCTCTAATTCATTTTGTATTATATTTTTAGAGATATTAATGGTGTTGTGGTATGCTTCAAGACTATTCACGATCTGGGTTTGGGTCCGCACAACAACAATCCACCTCCTGTTTTAGGTTATAGGTAATTCCTCTCATTTTATTTTATTTTTTTACAAGTTCAATTTTCATTATTTAATAAGATAAGATTATATGTAACATTTACAAATAATATTGCAATATTATGTTATTGAACTTTTGAAAGAAGAAAAAAAATAATAATTTGCTATTGATTCAAAGTTAATCTTTTTCTCAATCAATTAATTGTTAAAAATCTATTCCAATATATTAAGCTGAAGATTTTGTTTATTTAAATGCACTAATTTCAAGACTACCAGTCAGATTTGAAAAACTACTATTACATTAGATTTTTCTTCGGCAAAAGTAAGAGAAAAGGATTGTAATTGTCTAATATATACAAATTTATTATTTTTTTCTCTTCATGAAGTCTAAATTGCGATTTCAATGATATTTTCTTTTTATATAGAAATAAGAAACTTTTCTAATTGTTATGGGCATAATCAACCCTAGATTTTATACTTTTTGAGCTATGAGCAAATAAAATTATCATTTCTTGATAACATTTTTCTAGTTACCTAGCCGTTGGTATTTTTGTTATTCTGACAATGAATGAAAATATAATCACCCAATAGAAAATATAATTCGCAATATCTCGAAAATGATGGATTTTATGGTTTCCTTTGGAACTTATTGAGTCTAGATCTCCATTTCAAAATATTCAAAACCCAATCTCTACCATCTCGAACAATAGACTTTCCACTGCCCTAGTTTTGAAGCTTGATGAAATGTTTAGATCACTCTTACTTTTAAAAAAACAAATGCTAAGAGTTCAATTCAGTAACCCTCTGTGAAATTCTAAATCCAGTGGTCGACTTATAATTATTTTTGAAAAGAAAACTAATACAGTATACTCCTACATAACCTGCTTTCCGTATTAACTGGCTGTAGCGGTAAAAGAAAAAAAAGTTATTAACATCCTATTGAGCACTTATAGATTTGAGATTCTCAACCATTGGTTATAAATTTATTTTTATTGTGTTGAGGTTCAATATATTTTAAATAGATTGAAATGTAGACAAAAAGATTTTTTTTAATTAGTTTTATACAATTGTAAGAACTTCAATTAAATAAATCTATTCAAAATAAAATTGATTCTTGAAACAAAATCCTTATCCTTCATTTATTTCATAGAAAAATGAAAGAAGAAATGCGTAATTACCGGCGCACTACTGTTTAATGCTGTATCTGCGTATATTACCGACATTAGACATGACACATTTTCTTGAAAAGGTTTTAGTCGAGGTTTTTGTTTGTATATTACGTTTTCCTTTTCAGTTGTGTTACAGCTTTTGTTCAATTAACTAGTGTGACAAAATGAGTGAAATTAAGAAAATGAGTTGTGTCATTGAAAGATAATTTTTCAAAGAATTTTTTGCAATATAGAAGAGAAAATAATTGGAGTTTTATTATTTATTTTATACTATCCGTATTTACCGATATCTCGATCCAGATGAGAACGGATAAGCGGGAATCTACTGAAAGTATGATTTATTAATATAATCATCATCATAATTGATTTCCTCTACTACTGGACAATATGGGGATGCACTCCATTGAGAACTCCGTATCCGTCTCTTCTACCAGCTCTCTCCTCCTGCTCCAGTCCAGGCTGGACTTCCTCGCTTCCGGAATGCTTTCCGCACTCCTTCCTCCCAGGTTATCAATGTTCTTCCTTTCGGCCTTCTTCCCTTCACTGGTCTCTCGCCATTCTATCCATAATCGTCTTAAGGAGGTGCCCAAACAATCTTAGTTTGTTCTCTTTTGAACTGCTAGTAGTTTTTTTTTTCTTTTACCACCTCTCTTCTGTTAATAAAACTTCTCCGTATTAAATGGCTCAACATTCATCCAGCTACTTCTTGTCTCATTACTTGGGCTCTCTTCCTATTCGCATGCATTTTGTTATGTTGCTAGTTCTTACAATGTTACATGTCGATTTGCTTACACCCTAAGAAATTCTGAATCCAACTATACCCCATTCATGGCATTAGAGCATAACATGACCTTATATTTGGTAGAAAAGGGATTTCAAGACTTATTGAAATAATATATGTTGTAATTACTTATATATGTAATTGGTAATACTTCTTTATAGATAGAAATTAATTTTATTATTATTAATAATATTAAATAATCTTGGAAAAACAAAAATAAATTGTTGCCCACTGCTTGACTTTAAAATTATTTCCTCAAGTAAAAAAATGTTGGAGACTCATGCTTTCATGTTGGAACTTATTACATTATTTTTATTTTCTATGATGCCCAATTGTCATTATTGATTTATTTATTGCATTGTTTATTTGTTGTTAAGCTTAAACCCAAAGGGTATCCCACAGCCTACGATTTCTCCATCACCGAATGGTCTGTACCCAGCTGTAGCATCGCCTACCAGTTCAGGAGATTACGTCAATCTCCTGCGACCGAAAAGACCCGCACCTACACCACCGATTCAGTCGAGCCCTGGTTTACTATCAACAAGCTTAGTAGTGAATTCACCACCTGAGATACCACCGAAGCCTCAGGTGCCGTCATCTGCATCTTATGCAACTCTCAAAGTACATGAAGGTAAGCTAGTTAAGTATTTTCATTCATAAAACTTCTACATTTTATTGTTGGGTTTTGAAAGTTACCTAGCCATTGATTTTTTATTATTTTAATATTTCTTCTGTTCATTTGTCCTAATTTTGGTGTCTTGAGGTTTTATATTTATATAAATTAGGCCAATTATCACTAAATATTTTATTGATATGTTATTTAATTCGACGTTTCGACCATACTAAGGGTCATTTTCAAGACCTTGATGAGTCCTCTGTTATATCTTCATCATTAATGTCATAAAAAATATGTTTAGTGAACATTAAATTGTCAAGGTCTATAGGGGTTTCGCCTATGTCATTTCAGTCTCTCCAGAAATGATGTAGGTGAAACCCCTATAGACCTTGACAATTTAATGTTCACTAAACATATTATTTGCTACATTAATAATGAAGATATAACGGAGGACTCATCAAGGACTTGAAAATGACCCTTAGTATGGTCGAAACGTTGAATTAAATAACGTATCAATAAAGTGTTTGGTGATAATTAGCCTAATTTATATAAATATAAAAATTATTTTAATAGTTTTGGATAATTTAATCATTACAGAGATAATGTTGGTTTCATGTAGTTCAATATTCCGGTTCTTTCTAAGGCTAATATTCAGATAGAAGGTTTCGATTTGGGAGGATTTAGGTTCTTAAGGCCAATAATGATAGAACTGTATTTTAATATAAGGAATTAGAAAAATATATTTTAAAATTAATCCTTTTAAAACAAAGGTGATGAAAATGGGCAGAGTGTCTCATTGAGAGATGTGAATTATTAAAATTTCTTTTGTTCAGACATAAATGCACCATGGTCTGATTGAGATTAATTGAACATTACCTCTGTTAAAATGAAATAATAGCCTTTTCAACTTAATATATACTGATTGGATCAATCAATAATGCAGTCTCAAGCAAAATGCAAATACTGCATCCTAGTCAGAACATCACATCTGCATGAGGTATCCATACTACAAAATCTTAAGATTGGTATGTCAATTATCCCCAGATTAAAGATGTGTTTATTCGGTCGACAGTAAGCTGTGTGTGGACCTGTCTCACACCTTAAAGTGTTCTTTTCCATGTGTCAAATTATTGTACTGCTCTTTGCACTGGGTCCTTCTAGGAACACAAATATGTCAACTTTCTACTATTTTCCAACAGAGCCTAGTCTTATTATTTACTATTATTGCTTGCCTTAATATGTCTTTTTGCATAAATGGGTTTTGGTGACAAGGGTACTTTTCTAACAAGGTTATCCCTCCCATTCTCATAACTACTCATAAATACCTGGGTGTCCAAGCACCCATCCAATCCTCACCTTATTGGTTCTGGCAATAGTTTTTAAAGTTATTTGCATATAATTTTGCATTCATCCGCCAACTTAGACCAGATTTTATAACTTGTACTCCAATGGTCGCTTGGCTATCCGTAAATATCAAGATTCATCTATTCCTCACTCCATTCTCTAATAGAGATTCGACACAGACATTAATTGCTTGTAACTCAGCTTGTCTTAAAGAATAATTATTAATCCTAACAAGTTAAAAGCTTAAAATATCTAACAACGCATGAAGGAATCAATGACAGCAATATCAAGGTAGCAGTAAACTCGGTGGAAAGAGTTTTGAATATTGTATAGGATTGTGAAAAAGTTGAAGTCGAACAAACTAAATTTTTATTAAAATGATAATTTTTTTCAATTTAAAAGTGTTTTTATCTTCTTGATTGTAAACTGATTTAATCGTGCAGATATTGTAGATGTAATATATATTTAAATTAGCATTTACAATGAGCCCTGCAACCAATTAGTTGTGTTAGCGCTATTTTATCCTCTGAATATTGTTATCTTATTGTTCATATTTCACTACTGTTTGCTATTTGTTTTCCGTTACAGTGTTTACTGTTTATTGTTAACATCAAGAGCCATTGTATAAGCTCTGTAAAGCTTAGTGTATATGGGAAAGTTGTTCTAATATTGGAATTGTTTGCTTTTTTTCTATAATTTTATTTAACATTCCATATTTCAAAATTTCATTTTTTTTTTCTATTTAGTGTTACTTTTATTTCATAAAATGACAAAATATCATATTTTTTATTGTTTCTTGCTGAAAAATATAGTTCTGCCCAATCTGTCAAAGCCTAAATGGAATGTAAGGATACTATGGTACCATTTTGCTTCCAGTTTTTTTGTCTATTCACAAGAGATTTCCAAATCCAAATGCTGTAAAACATTTCTAAGCCATTTTGAAGCCGCTTCTGTGTTTTACTTTTTGTTTTAAACATCCGAAAATTTTATTCCAAATCTTCTCAAATATCTTTCCAAAATCAAACATTGTCAATTTTGACACATGTCTCAATAAATATTTATTTCATACTTATTTTGTCCAATTTCCGTGTTCTTTGACAAAATTAGTTCGGTTTCACTTGTTTAGAAATTGACAATATTTTTTTTCTGGCAACACAATTGTTAAGATCAACTGGTAGAAGTTTTCTTCTGATCAAGGACAAAATTGTATCCTTGTAGTTCTCTGCTAGATTTATAGACCTACCTGAACGTTTCAGGTCTCAATTTTTCTGTTTTTTTAACAAGTTTTTGAGGATATAATGAATTTCAGAAATAGAACCTTCAAATTCTTTTTGAATTTACCTGATTGATTACCTGATGAAGTCATCGTTGATACAAAATTATAATTTTTGTCACTCAAAATAAGATGTTTTGTCATTTTATGAAATAAAAGTAATATTAAATTGAGAAAAAAATTTGCAATATAGAATTTCAAGTTAATGGAATGTTAAAAATTTTCACAGATACACTAAGCTTTACAGAGTTTTTGACGTTAACATTAAAGAATAAAGACTGTATTGGATAACAAATCAGTGAAATATGAACATGGCTCAACGTTAATTAAAATTAATGCTTTTTTAGATATATATTACATCTATAATGTCTGGATGGTTGAATAAGTTTGCAATCAACAATTTAAAAACACTTTTAAATTAAAAAAATTATCATTTTTATAAAAATTTTTGGTTTGTTCGAAGACTTTTTCACACCATGTATGAAAACATTATGAATAAAAGTGAGGTCTCCATGATGACAAAATTGAAAATCCATAAATCCACATTTATCCCAATATTAATTCACTTTTTCCAATCCTAACCATTAACGACGAAGCATAGATGTAGATTCTATTCTTTCTAATTTCATGAAAAAACTTCTTGTTAAAACTTAGAGTTGGCATTTTCGTCCCAAGTAAAAGTTATATAATGTATTATTTTATTTTTGATGAATTGTTTGTTGTTTTGACTGTTCATTTCATTTTCTTAGGTTTGGAGGGCATCCCATTTGTGCTGCATCCCACACTGGAATTGATTGCATCCAAAGGAGCTTCGGTAAATATTTATCACCCTTTTTTTTTATATTAAAAATAAATAAGGCTTGGAAATATGTTAATTACAGCATAATGAAATTCTTGTTTTGTTTTTTTTCTTATATCTAATACAGAAGACAATTTTTAATTGATTTATTTTAAATTTAAGTACTTTTTTTGTTATTTAAATTTTAAAATATTATAATGAAATCATAAAATTTGTATAAGGTACTAGAAGAGATTTTTAACATTAATCTAATGAACATTGTTGCCACCAGAAAAATAGTTTTTCAATTCTAGATCTTCAATATGAAGTTAAAACATATCCAGTGGAGAATAATGAGTAGACAAAAGTCTGTCTGTTTCTGTGGAAATCTTCGGTAATGTGAGGTTGGTATTAAGTTTGGGCTCATTTTAAAAATGCACTATCAGCAAACACTGATCATTCACGATGGCACTACAACTTTAAGAATGTTCAACACATGTTCCAGCTTTCTACACAATACAGAATGTCTCTTTCACTATTAATCATATACTTTCTCCATATTAAATGGGTTATAATATATGCTTTATTATTTTGTATATTAATAATAATTGATTGTTATTATATTTATTTATTCATTGTAACAACAGCATTGTATTTTTTGAAGATTCAGAATTCTGCTTGAATTTTTCGCATCATGAAAAAAATTGAGAATTGGAAAAAACAGCCATTCATCAGAAAATTTTAGTTTTGAATTTAAATATTTCATTTTTATAAGGTTTAATCTATTTACAAGGCCCATAGGGGAAGAAATTATAATATATCGTCAATATTATTTTGTTTATTTCTTTGAATTTTATGAAATATTAATTGTTTTTTGCCACACCTCATTTGATGTTCAGTTATAAATTAGATTGATCTTAATTAAGAGATGTAGTGGTCTGATATCAGCAGTAAAAAAAGAGTGTTAAACACCTTCATTTGAAGCTTTGAAAACATTTTTTTCTTTCACTTAACTATTTATGAAACATAGAGTAAGGGTAGTAATTAATGTGATAGTAAAAAATTTTAAATTCCAGTTTTCTACAGAAATTCATGTCCTATAAGTCCAAATAAGCAAGTTTTGTAAATCTGTGTGTGTGATAGCCTAGCTCAAAAACAAAATGTCATAAGAAAGTGAAATTAAGTATTTAAGGTTGATATATGCCCGGGATTTTACACCGAGTTTTTCATGGAAATCTACTATCTTCAACGAGCACTTGGTTTTACACATCTATGCAATTTTCTTAAAAACGGCTCATAAGATTTTGATTAAACTCATTATATCAGTTTAATTAAGTGGTTTTTAATATTAGACAGTTAATATTCTGATTAAAATGATGTTAAGCCTGGATTTCTTCTTCTAAAGTACCTTTGATTTTGTTTATTTGAAATAATTGACAGAGTATAACCAGTATCAAAAAATGGTTAAATATAAACTATGATAGAATTTGATTGCTAAATAAAGGGAAAATAAAGGATGATGATGTTGAATCGAGAATTACTAAAGAAATACAAGAAGATACTCGAGCTTAGGCAAAAGCGTTAGGATAGCCTTGCAAATGTAACATGTATCATAGATGAGGAATGTGTGCTTTTCGATAATACGATAACATAAGCATGTGCAATTTTTATAAATGCAAGTATCGGTATTATTTAATATTTAATCAGTGCTTAAATAAATAATATTGCCCACAGTAAAACATTAATAAATATAGTTGCCACCTTTATCCCTGGCCCTCATCGGATTAAAAAAAATTTGAGGACACTTAATTATTTTATCATAATTAAATTAATAATTGAAATATGCAGTTGTAGAAGGAAATGATTAGTGATGAAAAACGCATACATTTAATAGATTAGGTTGATAATAATAATAACAAAAACATTTACAATTAATTGTTAATGTAAATCTGTAAACCAATCACCAAGAGACAGAAATTCAATATTAAAGATTGTTGAGTTATCAATGGCAATAAAATATTTTAATGTGTATAATGTATATATGTAAGACTGTATAGAATGGTTAAGTGTATATATGGCATGAAAGTGAATAGTTTATAATAATTTTCATTATTCAATAACACATATACAGTAAAATCTCTTTGAGAAAACAGTGATTAAATATACTAAGGTCAATGATAAAAGGACTTTGAGGAGGTCTAATAGGGCTGATGTACTGCTGCAGTTACTATGCCCATTCACGGGCAGCGTACCTCTGTACAGCAGCCATATTAGACCTCCTCAAAGTCCCTTTTATCATTGACCTTAGTACCTTAGTGAACTGCGATACCCTGTATATTAGGAAAGAGATTATGCGAAACACACAACCATGGGTGTTATAATCTCTTCTTTTCTAACCTTTTCTATGGATATTTCATTAATACCCATTTTTATGAATGTGAATTAATGTTACATTTTACTTTTCTACTGCTACTAGGTAAGGAAAGTATAGCCCATGCCCGTTTAGATTACTTTAGTTCATTATAGAAAAAGTGCTCTTGTCATTTATCTAACTAAAAGTGGTCTAATTCAAGTTTGTTTTTAATGTACGTTTATAGTTGTATAAATTTGTTTCGAATCGGTAAGAAAGATGTGCGAGTGGACACGCTAGATTTTTTATGACTACTGATTGTGTTGATTTGATTCTATAATAGTTTTCATAAAAATATAAGATTCCAAACAGAAGCTCGATTAATAGATATTTTCAATAAATGCAAGTTCGATATGCAGCGGTTCAACTTGTTTTGTAAATAGTCTTTTTGATAACTAAACAGATTACAAGCTTAATAATAAATAATGTTATAATACATTATTTATACATCGTACATTTTAGCTTCCTCTAGGGTGATTTGGAAACCTAGTTTTTACTCATACATCGTTTTGTAAAGGTCCTCTATTCAACCATTTTATCATTCTTTAATATGGATAATTTTGATTTTTTTAATCCGTTAACACTTTCAGTAAGAGCTTCATTTTTTGAGAATACCTCATGGCCAGATTGCATATTTCTTTTAAAAAAATTTAATCACATTTAAATTTATATGCATAAACTAACTATACACTTTTAAAGCTAGAAGGGTATTATTGAAAGTAAATGTCACTAACAGAAGTAGACAATTTTTATTCCCACCAGGTACCATAATACGGAGGAATAGGGAATATGGAATGTCCTTTCCCAACGACTACCCAGCCATAGGGAAAAGATCTCAGATTCTTTCTAGAAAGACCATCTGCACCAAGAATATTAATAATTAGAATTGACCATTTTAAGCTCTGTTACATTTACTACTGAAAGTTTTTTTAAAATTTTATTAAACAACTCCCAAGTCATTAAGCTTCTTGAGATTTATATCGTAAGTGAGCAGATGGATTAGAAGGTTTGTTCGGTTTCTGGGTAGAATTTGCTTAAGGATTACAGACAAACATTTCTTTAGGATTATAAGCCCAGTAAACTCAAAAATAAGAGGATCTCATAAATATGGAATATATCTAATACAAAGGAGAAATTTTGGTCTAGGAAAATAAAAATTAATTACAGCAATTATAGAAGAACTTATAGCAACAGGCTAATGGAGAAAAAGATTTTATCCAGACCTTCAATAGGGAAAAAATGAGATTTGTTTAAGGAAAGGAAGAAGTATAGAATACAAATTCCTTCTGTCGTAATGTTGATGTCAACAGTACACCTATGTTGTCTTTTATAATGAGAATGATATAAGCATTGCACGCTTTCACATTCTCAAGTTTAGTGGTGCAGATTCTGATCCGGCTTGAGTTAGTTGAAATTTATTTTGTGGCGAATCCACAGTGTGCCTAAATCTTCCCATCCTAGTTAAAATTGGTTTGGTTGTACCTCACGAACAACATCCTCGTATGCCAGATATGGTGAGGTAGCGGGCGGGTAAATGGAAAAAAAAAATTTCTTTATTATATGATTTATTTTTAATTTTTTATTATATTTTTAAAAATATAGAATGTATATACGACACTAGCTATAAGTATTCTTTCCTGTTTCATTCACAACTGTTTCATAATCTAATGGATAACCTATATCTAATGGATCTTTGATAATCTAGTGTTATTTGCTAATTGTGATTAGTAAAGACAATAAGGCAAACTCTTATCGTGAACATTTGGGAGAAAAATATCATTACAGGTTATATACAAACATAGATAAAATAAAAATTGTGTATGTTTATATGCATATGTCCATACGATTTTTTTTTTTAAATTAGGGTTATAAAATAAATTATTTCACCTTGACATTATATTGAGAGTCGGAAAAAAAATCATTAATTTTATTTTTCAGATTGGACCAATTCCTGTTATCAAGAGGAAAACAATGGAAGATTTAGATAGAGAGGTTAGTACTTTACATTTATTGTTTTAATATCATTTATAAAATTTTCAGCAAAACTTTTACTATTTAAATTTTTTAAAACAGTGTGTATTTAAATACCTAGCTTAAAACTGAAAAGACTTGCGATGCTGAAATTATGTATTTAAGTTAGTTATTTGGCTGGGATATAGCAAATTTTTTGCTACAATCAAATTACCCTAGGTGCCATTGTATCATCGATTTTACTCATTTTTACTATTTCCTCAATAGCCGCCCCAACGATTTCGTCTAAACTTGTTATGCCAATGTAAAATTAATAGTCTTTAATATCAATTAGGCCTTATCTTTATTAAAATAGTCTGTCAAGGCTTAAATGATGAATTTTCAAAATTTCTTCCTCTGAAGTACCTTTTGATTTTGATTTTTTTTCTTTTATTTTGATTATTAGAAATAATCAAAGTTCTTTCATTGTTAGTATTAGGTAATATAAAGTGGTTAAAAAATAACTACGAGAGAATTTTATAATTAACTATAAGAAAAATATTTTAACAGGTTAAAAACTAATTTCAGCTAATAAGAGTTGTTATAGAGATGTATAATTTAACATTGGAAAGATGAATATATAACACTTAAAGTTGTTGAAGTCTGTGGAGATTGACAAAAAACTAATGACTTTTAATTATTGTAGTTGATATTTCTTTTTAATATAATTTAGAATCACACTACAATTTCTTTGTATAAAATTTCCACTTCCTCCAGTGCTCCTTCATAAGAAGATTGTGCTGCTATTTCCATTTATCCTTCTAATCTTTTCCAGTCATTGCAGTTCTTTAATGTTGAAATCCTTTCAAGCTTTAAATCACAGTCCGAAAAGCATCCCTATCCAACATCTGAACCATTGAAATGTTGGAACTCTCCATTTCTTTACAACTTCCTTAATCCATGGCGTCATTGTCTTCTTGTTCTAAAGGTAGCCAAATAATGTCTACTTTTATTATTATTGCTAATGGTGATTATTAGAATATGTGGAAACGAAATCTTTTCTTGGAAATATAATGAAATTTTCATGAGAAATAGTCTGAAAGAGAGAATGGAATTTCCATAAGATGTAGAGAAACTAAAAAAATTATTTTGAGTTTGACAACAGTCGGCCTAGAAATAGTACTTTCTTAAAAAGTATTGAACCCAAAACCCCCAATGGTACATTTTTTTTTAATGACAAGTACGGTATCAATTTTTTTTATTTTTAAGAACCTTCATATTAGATATATAGATATGAAAAGGTTGCAATGCGTGTGCTAAGAATGATAAAACATATAAAATGTTATTTTTTCACCAACTCCCTACTTTGAACCAAATCGAAGAAACCGTTTCAAAAGTATAGCCTGTTTGGGAAAATACAATTACGCCTGCATAAGCTAAATTATTGGCTGGAATTTCATGAAATTGATTTGGGACCATCTAGGTACAAGTTTCTGAAATTTTAACGATCAAATCGGATTAACAATAGGTGGGTGATATGTCTGTCACATAGTTTGGCCAAATTTGTTTCTTGATGTCTATAATATAAAACGTTTGTATATATAATGTAAAATATGCTTCCCTTATATTCGGTAATGAGGAAGCAAAAAAATGTATGCATTTATTTCTAAATAGAAAAATTGGTTTTAAAATCATAATAAGAATCGAAAATATAGTTTATTTCTTTTTGCAAGTTCTGAACATTTTTAAATGATAAGCAGAGTTCATTGAAAATAATTAATGACTTAATTTGTTTTGTTCAAGTTTAATTATTCAAGATAACTTTTTTTTTTTTTTTAGTATGCGTATGACTTCAGACTAGAAAGACAGTCAACATAGCGGACGGGAGCAGAACCAGAAATCCACGCTATAAAAAGAGGAAGCAAGCGAGCATTGAGAAAGATGTGCGCACAGATCCCGCCTCCGCCTCCTCTATAGTCTTCTAGCTCCAACAGTTTCATCTATTATGAGATGATCTATTTATTATCATTTGTATTTTTCAAAATACTGCCATTTTGATCGTCATCAGGGATGCCATCTATATTTTAATATATATTTAGCATTTTATTGTGATTATTATCTATATTATAATTTTGAATTTAGTCATTTTTTTTTAAATATATATTTCTTGCTGATTTCTTTTATAATTTTCTTGTATCGATTAATATTTTAAAAATTTAATTAGGAATTATTTTATTTCTTATTTTAATTTCAATAAAGAGTAAATGTTTTATTAAACTAAGAAATTACACATGGTACTACATATTATGTTTAAAATTTTTAAATAATTAATACTTCTAATTTCAGTCTGTATCTTTAAATATGACATCAATTTAAAATAATTATGTTTTCTTTTATAATTTAATTTTTTCTTTGAAAGAATAAAAGTATTAGGTAATTTTTTTAATTGAAAAAATATTCTATTTTAATATTACTGTACAGCGATTTCGTGTCCGTTTTGAGTAATCTATCTATATATTTTTTTAAAATAACTAATACATCAAACAGTTTCAATTGCCTCCAATAATAAATTTTTGTTTCAGATATATTAATTTTTCAAATTCTATTTTGTGATGTGCACGAATAATATTTGAGAAAAGTCTTTTTACTGGTGTATTTTTTTTTCCTGATTGATAAAAAATGAATTCTAGTTAATTGTTGGTTGTAGTAAATCTACATTTTTCCTCTTTCAATTTGAATGTAAAAAACTTATAATACGATTGATTAAGTATCACCTAGCAATGAAATTTAAAATTATATTAACAACAAATGCATATTTTTTATATTTTATTTTTCAAGGCTTATTACAGTTTAAACAACATGTTATGTAAAGTAATGTTTTCATTCAATATAAATCAGGTCACAAAGATTTAAGAAGTCTCGAGTTTATTCGATTTCCTTGAAAGAAAATACTCATTTTATTTATTTTAACATCACAATTTAAGCTAAGTTATTAAATTATTCTTGTCTTCAGCATCACAATTTAAATGATTCATGACACAATCAGTGATAACTCTGTTTTTTTAATATATATATATGTACTAAGTTCTAAATTTTAGTTTACTATGTCCATCACTAATGAATTATGTATAAAAAACTAAAACATGACCTAATATTATCCCAGATAGGTCAGGACGTACGATTGTGATTATATAGGACTGATAGTTGGTTTTGGGTTGTAATTTTAAAATCCGTGCTGTAATAATTAACTTATTCATTCTAGTAATAGGATTAGTAGCATATCCTTAAAAAAAAAAATGCTTCCTTGATTGAGTGCCAATTAAACATAGTCTTTTTATTTTGCAGTTATTAGACTTTTTTTTTAAATTTAGAAGGAGTTTGTATTGTCTGGTTAGTTAGGTCACATTTTTAAATGTCTAAATATCGAACATTAAATGTAATAAAAAAAATTGCTGAATGGGTGGTCCTCATACTTATGTCATATTCTCCTTCTTGAAAATGACAGCTAAGTTCATAGAAATATATATTTCATTACGATTCCATAAATATAGGAATCATTCCAGAAAATGAAAATAACTGTGTTTGTACTCGTAGATTCTGAAATCACATATTTCAAAATATTTATAATATTGAAGAGATTTGATCTGTTAATCAGCAACTTTTATCAACTAATACTTTATGAATAATTTTGTTATCTTTGTGTTAATAAATTGTTTCCCGCCATAGTTAGTCACCTTTTCAAAAAATGGTATTGTCTTGAAATTTAGTGAGCTAGGTTTTTTCATTCTCTTGGAATGAAGCCCTTTTGTTGTAAAACATAATTTATACCTTCCCGTTTTAACATTATGTAATAGGGAACAATCGAAACGACTTCATTTAATTAAATGTATCTAATGCCCAAATCACTAACACAAGATAGGTGTAGTCCCTTTCTATATTAAGCCATTAATATTAAAAACTATACCTCCCATAAATCATAAAATAATAAGAGTGTAATCAAATTTTCATTATTTTTTTTTTATAAAATTTTTTATAACAAATTTGTTCCAAACTGATATCATATTTGAAAATGGCTGGAAACAACTAAAGTTCTCACATAACGATTCTTCTCTCACATTCTCACTAAGAAAATAATAAGATTCTTTGGAAAAAATTTATTATTAATAAAATTAGTGTAAAGATGTAACGTGGCCAGTGTGATATTGAGATACTCATTGAATTCATGACTGTTTCCGATCGAATAACTTCCTTTTCACTCATCTCTTTGTTAATATAATATTTAAAAGTTTTAAAGTTATTTGATGAGAAAGCAAATCTTTTTTTTTAAACAATATAACTTTGCTTTAAAATAGTAAGTAGTTCCTTGTTGAAACTGGTTAATTTTGAAACAATTTAAAATAGGGACCCCTGTATATTCAAAGATTACAATTTTATTTAAATTGATTAATGTACTCATTTAGTAAAAACTGTTACAATTACTCTTAAATTGGTTATTTTTTACTTAAGTAACACCAGTTATTTTTTTGTCACTTATTCAGAACTGTTACAGGCGATACTTAAGTAAAAAACAACTTAAATTTTTCTGTGATATGAGGTTTAGTCCTTCGATATGCAGACTTTTTGTAATAAAAATCTGAAGCACAATTTAAAAATGTTCGATATCTAGAGGTTATAAAGGCAGTTTTGAAAGTTAGTTTTATATCGATTCAACGGAATTTTAAAAGATCACTTAGTTACATTATTATCAGTTAAAGCATCACTAATTATGGTAATATTTATGCGTTGCTTTTTTATTGTACTGCCCTTTGCATGTAATACTTGTTTTATTTATTTAATTTAGTATCTATTGATTATATTTTTACAAATTTTGTTTAATTAAGTAATTGATATAAAAATTATTCTTTAATATAATGTGTGATCAACTATGTTGATGTTATTACTTGCCAGATTTAATTTGTTTATTATTTTTTAAGGTATATCGATTAATAAGATATTAAATAATTTCTCTTCTTATTTGTATTGTACAATATTACTTTACTTTGACATTTTTAAAGTCGTTTACGAAAATAATATTATTGTACAGAAATATTTTTTAAATAATATATCATTTTTAAGAAATTATTGAAATACATTTAATGCTCAATTATTAACTATTTTGAGCCCCTTGAATGGCAGGCTTGTTTTATGAAGTATAACTATATTTTAGAAAACTTTTAAAAATATATGAATCCTCGTTGAATGCCCACCTCATAAGCTATTCAATTAGATATACCAAATGTAAATAGTTTTATTATTAGTATTATAATGAATTGAAATTTTATTTTTGTCCAATGAATATGCTGTTAAAAATATATAAAATTAATCATGACCATTTTGGCATAGATTCAGAAAATTGTTAAACGCTGTGATGTAAATCAAATCTGGAAATAACTTTATTATAATGGAGTATTTTGCATTGTTAAAGTTATTACATTGCATCATAAAATTCTCATTTTGTATATTGTACTATGGAATTTTTAATGTTATTGGATTTCACAGTTTGTAGTACGAACAAATTTTTTTTTATATATAATGATTTTAGAAATATTTTTAGTAAATTAGTTTTTTTTTTTATTTCTTGTAATGATTTATAGATAAAAAATAAATTGTTTCATAAAAAATTTGTTTGTGGTTTTTCCATCTGAATTATTTGATATGTCCATACTGATTTTGTTCGGATGAAAAATATCTATCTATTAGTCCACAGTACAGACACTTTTCCTTATCCTAACCCTTCTTATCATAACCAACAACTTTTTTATTTAAGAAAATTCTTAGAAATGAGACGTTTTCTCATTAATAAATTAATTAATTTAATGAGGTACTCAATACTCATGAATACCCACTTACTTTCCACTTGAATCATAGGATAATTTGGGCACAAAAACAAGAAAAAGGTGGCCTACAAAAATATTGGAGTGTTTGGCCTCCATAATCTCGTTACTTTGACATGTGGGTGAAAGTCATATCATACATACCAGTATTTTTGTAGACCATCTTTTCTCTCGTTTCAATTAGAAAAAAATGGGTGTTTATGAATTTTCAGTACCCCATCAATAAAAAAAGTATACCAATCTCCAGAGTGAAAAAGATCCATTCCTGAAAATTTTCGTAAATAAAACACTTGAAGCTTACAATATGATGAAGTCATTCATGAAGATTTATTAATGATTTGATTAAAAGAGGTCTGTACATATGTTTAAATGTTTCAATATTTGGCGTTATATTTTACTTACAGTGCTAATTAAGTATAAATGATGTAATTTAGTTTTATTTTAATATCATAAAGCTGCTAATATAAAAAAAAAAATTAGTTGCCTTCTTGATCACAGAATGATGAAGTGACTTAAACTGAGAGGAGATTATGGGGAAGTTCCTAAACACAGTGCTGAGTTTAGGAACTTGCCCTATGTATATTTCTCCTCTCAAGCCCCATATGCCCTGCTCTGACTTAATTTTTGAAGAATTATTTTATTTATATATAACTTAATATTAAGATATGATCATTCTCTAGCTGTGAGACTCATATGGCCAATCGCATTAGGTGGAGAGTCCCAGAGTGCACAGTTCATATCCTGTAGATTCAATTCCCACTGGTATCAGTCAATATTTATTTCTCGACGATCCCATGAAATGAATCTTGACATTCTTATTCTTGTTACAACACAGCGACCACCTCTCAGTAGCCATCGTGATTGCCAAACAGGATCACAAGCCTAATTGCCGGACTAGTCTCCCACCAGTACCGTTAATTGTAGTTTTTTTAATTTATCCTGAGATCGATATCTTCTGGTCAAAAAATTTATAAAAAACGATATATCTCAGAAGAAAAAATAATATTGTTTTGATAATTTATTCAGTACCATTGCTCAAATTATTTTTGTTAACTTAATGTTTTCTAAAAAGTCATCAAAAATGAATTAAAAGAAGTTAAGTCATAAAATATGATTAGATTTTAACATTCTGTTGATTACATGAGCATTTTATTTTAAGTCCAAATCTTTTGCATTTAGATCAAGTAAAAGTTCAAATTGCTGTAATAACAATCACTCCATATTTGTATAAAGTTTATGTTAGTTATTTCGAGAGAAATGTGAATTTACCAGATATGGGCAAATGGTACTGAGTACCAAGTATTTTATTCAAATACAGACCTTATTTGGGTA